AAATTTCTCTGGTGCTACAGCCCATCTGTGCAAAACTGCAGTGGCACACTGGCAAGGCAGTTGCTGCGTAACATGCTTAGCAGTGTTAATGTGAGGAGTAGAGTATCAGTGCACCTTAACAAATGCCAAGTCTCTGAAATCTGCACTAGAGCAGATGCACTTGATGTGAGAAGTGACACCAAAATATACGCTTTGGACTTTTTTTTGGCACTTTTCATTAGTGCCAAATGATGGCAGAGAGGTTCAGAGAGACACTACCTCTGTAAGTACGAGAACAGTATGAAGTGTCAGATCCTGAGCGTCTTCTGTGTTATACTACATGAGCTTTCTCTGAGGATTGTGGAAATATAAATCTGACTTTCTAGCCAGAAGTTACTATGTGTTATACCTGTCAAATGATTTTTACATAGGGTACTTTAAAGAATTTTAAAGTCTATATAACTGTAAAATTCCTATTATCCAGAGGCCAACACAGCAAGCCTTTAAAATAAAATTAGAAATCCTCTCACTGAAAATCTATCATGAAATGGATGGGATGTCAAAATTTAAACTTTTTTTTCTTTGAAGTTAATTTCATTAGGAATTTCTATGAACTGTGTGGTAGATGTTAAGTTTTTTGTTTAGATGAGAGTTTTCAAATGCACTTTCTCTTTGTATGTCTGTGTGGGTAAATGTACGTATTCAAATCCAAATTCAAGTAGTAAGTTAAAAGTAAGATTTTTTTCTTGAAAGATGCCAAATAGTACAAAAATTTTATTTTGTGAGAATTCTTCTCGGGCTCCATTTTTTGGGGAACATGGGTAAACCGGAAGAAAAGGACTTGTTGCTCTGAGTAAGATTGTATAGTTTTTGGAAAGTAATTGTAAGCAAACATCTGATGACTTGTTTTTGATTTGAACCAGGAGGAGGACTAATTGGGAGAAAGGGCTGCATAGGTGCATTGGGAAGAACTGATACAATGATGTGTGCGGTATATGGCTGGACTGAAGAGATGGCGTTCTCTGGAACTTCCACAGGGGATGTGTGTATTTGGAGAGATGTATTTCTCATAAAAACTGTCAAAGCACATGATGGTCCTGTGTTCAGCATGCACGCATTGGAAAAAGTAAATAAACTGCTCATTGTTTTTTGATGTCTGGACAAAAAAGTGTATGAAGTTAGGCCTTTCCCAAACTCAGGAATCCATGGCTTTATTTCCATTACAGAAAAGCCGTTTGAGGCCCAGATTCAAAACAGTGCTTTTATGCATGTCTCTAATTCTTGTTATGTAGCATGCTGTTTCTCAAACCCTTATGATCCAGTGACATCTTACTCAGTAATTTTCATGACCTCTTACTAAAGAAATAATAGTAACTTATGATAAGTAAAAGTACTCTTTGTTTTAAGCATCCATAAGTTTAATGGAGTATGTGAGCTTGTGAGAGAGGAAGAAGATCATACTCTTACTATTTTGTGCTGTATTTACCATCTACTAGTAGAAGCATTCAGCCTGTAAATCACGAAGTACTCTCTCCTGATTCTTAACTTCTTTTGACTCAGGAAAACCTTCAAGCATGTGCTTAAATGTGAACGGGTGTTCCAGTTAGATTACTTGTATGTTTGAAGTTATGTAAATGTTTGTGTTTTGCTAGGTTAGACCAAGTTACTCCACCTTCTAATATTTGAGTTTCCATATTAGTAGCTTTGGACAAAGCATGTGTTATTCATATTGCAAGAAGTGCTCCGAAGGAAAGTACTAAAGATTTCAGCATTCAGTATACCTGCTGCTTCATTAAACGGCTCTAAACAGTTTTTGAAGACAGAATGGCACAAGTATGCTTATATTTGAACAGTTTAAGCGCTAATCAAATTCTTGTGAGTGATACTGAGTTTGGCATGGAGTAATGAGACGAAATGCCAAAGGGATATTGAGCTAAATATCAAGAAAAACATCTCAGTATGTCAGTTAAATTATTTTTCTGGTATGGTAAAAGCTTATGGGTTAGAACTTTGAAATCTAGCCTGTGTACATGGATGGTACAAAACTGTGCTGCCTTCATCAGGAGGAGAATTCAATCATTTTGTTGCTCCTGATCCTTTCATCTCTAACGTATGTAGTTCTGTGTGTTACAGTGTTGTATATAATCCATTTTCAGCAGTGGCAGAAATCACTGAAAAATTAAGGAAAGATAATAATTGATTATAACTTGTGAATTTTTAAATTTTTTTATTTTTTTTATTTTTTTTTTTTGACAGGGATTTGTCACTGGAGGAAAGGATGGGGTAGTAGCTCTCTGGGACGATACCTTTGAACGTTGTCTCAAAACCTATGCTATCAAAAGGGCTGCTTTGGCCCCTGGGTCTAAAGGTAACACAGACTTTATCCTATTTTTTTATTCTATTTAAAACACTGTCTTTAGAAAACCTTTCTGTGGAACTACTTTCCCCAATAGGAGGAAATCCACATTTGACATAACAAATACTAAAAATAATTTTTTTTTTTATAGCTTTATTGATCCTAAATAAGTAATTTTTCTGTTGGGAGGGGAATGGTATATTGTAGTGTCCGTTTGCACATTTGGTGGATGCAGATCATAATATTTACTTTATTATCTGCCTGAATTAATTGGTTTAACCTTAAGTCTCTTACCACCCAGATGATTTTTAAAATTTTTTATTTTTAAGTGGCAACCAAAAAGCCTATTGTATTTCTAATCATGAAGTATCTTGTCTGTTCTTTTTTGTTTTGGAGGAGGAATGGAATTCAGAATTGTGGTTAGTTTTGTAAGGTTTTAGCACCTATTATGACTTAATTTTCTGTAAATGCACATGTCTTTTGAAATTATTTAAGAACATTTTTATTCCTGTTATTCCTATTTCTTCCATTTATTCTTGATCTTAGTGCTGATTTACAGTTTTCCATATTTGACATACTGGATAGCCCTTTCTCTCCCCCCCTGCCCTTAGAATTACATTTGCTGTGTTCTAATGTATATGATTTGATTTTCAAAAATCATGGGTGGAAACACCCATTAACTAAACCGTTCTACTACAGAATATCTCATTCTCATATCTGTTTAATAAAAGGCAAGATTTGAAGGTACTATAAATGCTAGCAATATAATAGTATAGTTGATACTTCACATGCACATCACTAAGATTGCCTATGAGTCAGGCTGATTAAACTTCAAAGATACTTGGTTGAGAAGAAAGATTAGTGTCATTGGGTAATTGCTAAATACTCCCAAATGAATCAAAAAATGTAAATTCTTCCATGCAGGAATATGTTTTTACTTGTTTACTACTGAGTATCTTTTTCTACAGTGCGAATGTAATGTGCATATGTGTAAAAAATCCTCTTTAAGGCGTACTTGAGAATCTTCTATCTTCTAACATTTTAATGTTCTAGGTCTCCTCTTAGAAGATAATCCTTCTATACGTGCCATATCTTTAGGACATGGTCATATTTTAGTGGGCACAAAGAATGGTGAAATATTGGAGGTGGATAAAAGTGGACCAATAACTCTGCTGGTTCAGGTACATGTTAAATATCAGTCAGATATTCCATACAAGAAATACTATTTTGTTTTTCAAGTGAGGACTGTTGTGAGATAACAAGCATTTTAATTCCTAGTGAAGTTAGCAAGTTACTATCACTTCATAGCTTTTTAAGCTCAGGCTAGACCATTATGGCTCTTTAATGAGCAAAACAGATCACAGAATTTCATGTACTAATTTGTTCAACAAGTTCATCCTTTCAAACAGACCAAGATCATATTTCTGTTTAAAAAAAAAAAAAAAGAAGAAAAAAGTGTGTGAAACAGTGGATCCTCCACCAAATTCCTTATTAACTTTTTCCGAGTACTAGTTACACTTACTGTTTTAAAAAGTTGTCTCCTTGAGGTTTATTTTTAGATTTTCTTTGTAATTAAGTAAAAAGCATTTCATTTTTCTTTGCTGTACCAAACAGATTGCATTTCTTAAGCCTGACTGCAAAACAGATTTTTTACATCATATCATCATATGATTTTCTTTCATACTTAAATAAAAATACGTGAATCTTTAATTCACACTGCTGAGTGGCCAATGCAATATGTAAAGAACTAGAATTTTTTAAAGAATGTATTAGAACCTAAGGTACAGAAAAAA